GATCACATGCCACATTTGGCAGCTTACGGAGCCTGCCATCTGTGTGAGTGGTTCTGCAAACTAGGTAAACTGAGACGTGTTACAGTCACTGTTACTTAATGCTGTAGATGCACTTATGAATAATACCTAATTTTTTCTTTTATGTGAAAACCAAGGTAGAGAAAATTGGAAATCTAGATATATGTTTTAAATTACTTGCCTTTGCAGTCATGGTAACTAAACTTAGAATAATTCTATGCGCAGTCTGTTTTGGAATGTCTCTGGTTCCGTTGCTCAGTAGTTCTCAAAGCCTGCCGATAGTTGGTTACTACTAGAAATAGCCTCGTGGAATGCCGTGCAGATTACTGCTTCCACCCAACCCTTAGCACCTAGATACCCAGCCCAAAATTCAGCTCTTGTTCCAGAATTTAGAATCACACCCCAGTGCTCTGTACTCAGCTGATAAAACTAGGGAAACGAAGATGGAGAAAGTGACTTAAACTTTCAGTTTAAATAAGAAATTCCATTGTTTTTTTTCCCATGAGGCATCTCCCAAGATGATGTCAAAAATTCATTTATATTCTAAAACTAGACTTCCTGTTGACTTCTGGGTTCTTGAAATAGATTTTAAATCACTTAACCTTAGGTAGAGAAAAGCCTTGAACTTGGCAGTTCAAAGAAACTGCCTCACTGTCTCTGGGTAGTAATCACTGCCTAGCCACCATCAGGGAAATGTGATCACTGCTCTTCTAGTTGTAAACACTTTTCCTCCCTTTTCTAGGGCAGTCTGACAAAACTTTGCATGTCTAATGTACATCTTTCTATGGCCATCTTTTTTCCTCCAGGAAAAAATTTCTGCATTGAAAAAGCAAGCCAATCACATTGTCCAGCAGGCTCAGAGAGAACAAGATCATTTTGTGAAAGAAAAGAATAATCTGCTAATGATGCTGCAGAGGGTAAGTATTCCCTTTTCGGTGCTGGTTGCAGTGACACATGGGCTCCAACTCAGGGCAAGTTTCCTCCATCAAGGCAAGTGCCGTTTAATAAAG